AAAAAATAGATAAGGACTTCTTATCACTTTCTTATGAAATTCTTATGACATTCTTATCAGATTCTTATAAGACTCTTATCAAACTCCATTCACTTTCCTGCGTAATCTTATATAAGAATTTGATAAGAATCAGGTAAGATTCTTATCAGAATTGCAGAAAATTTTTTGTCTAGGGCAATGACTGTCTTATTATCTGTTCTTTTGAATGGTACTAAAACAAAAAGATCATCAGCAAATTTGCTGTCTGAGGCGGATGTTGAAGCATTTAGGTCATTTATAAATATCAAAAAGAGTAAGGGGCTTTCCATTGAATTCTGGAATTTGATACTGCTGGTTAACATCTTCCGTAGCGTTCTTAGTAGCAGATGTATATGGTTTTATGGGCTTAGTTTCATGGCAATATGTATCGTATTCTAACCATTCCTCGATGTTTTACACATATGACTTTAACTGATAAGTATCCCCATCTAAGTTTCTTCCATTCTGCTGACAAATTCTCAAATGACTATGCATCCATCTCTCAGCAATTCTCAACGAATACTTGTAAGAAAAGACTGGGTAAAAGTTAATTCTTTGCTATAGAGATACCAAAAACCATACTGCTCTACTACAATTCGCACTATAGCGATACTCTATCTGACAGTAAGGAAAGAAAGTACGCTTCTCCTAGAGGGGTATATTCTGACTTAAAACAATGAGCTTATTGTTGTGAGACATACCGTAGTTTATGTACGATAGCCGACGATATTCTTTCATACATGTAGCACTAAAAGGGCAGTTTTCTCGTAGAGCAATGCTTTATGCCAGTCGGGATCTGTCTGGTTCAATATTCCGTTCATACTCTCTCATTATTCAAGTAATAATGTCGGAACTATGTTGATATTAGATTTTCTTAACTCCAGTTATGGAACGATTAATTTATATATAAGCTAACTTTCCCTAATAGCGGGTTTTAGCTTGACATAATGTTAAGGCGTATGAAAGTCAAAACGATGTCCTAATGTTGCAAGAAGCACTTTCTGAAATGAGAAATATTGGTTGATTGAGAGAGATAAGGATAGAACAGAAAGAAGCAAAGCGCAAAGAACACTACACAGTTGATAGAATCGAACACCGGAACTTTGATTCAGATGCAAAGAATTTACTTTTGAACTCAATTGTCCAAAAGTAAACTCAGAGGTGTTCTCATCCATTCTGTACATTGCTATAGTGTGTTCTACCCTCGCTGCTCAACCCATACAGCTTATATCCTTGATCAGTGACCAAAGCCTGTATACTCTGTGATGTAGAGTTATAGAGAGACGTTACATCACAAAACAGAAAAGCTAGCTATATTTTTGGTTGAGTGAGAGAGATAAGGATCGAACGAGGACCAGATCTAATAATGAACATCCACTCAACAACCATACCAATCCCACGAAAAGTTTGATATCGAACGCAGAAGAAGATGCGAAAATTTCTCGTTCTTATGTACCACTCTTCAACTAGTTTTAGATTGTGGCTACCATCCGCCTTAGCTGTCTCACGAAAAAGATCAAAAAATTAATCAACACAAAAAGAAATCTTAGGGAGATGAACAATTATAATTTTTTTAAAATATCAGTTTTTACTTCTTTAATATATTCAAATAACAGTTTCAAATCTAGGTATGCACCGGATGTGAGTGATGGACTGTTTTTAGCTCCCGTTCGGGCTTCGCCTCGTGCAGTTCTTGGCTCGTCATCGACCCGTACCTCGTCAAGCTTTCAAAAATGCTCCCTTGCGGGTCCCGCCTTATCTATCGTCAACTATCGACGAAGTTTTTCGCCGGCACTTCTTCATCGATCATTCTGAGTCCGGTGAACTAAACGTTAAGATGTTAATAATAACAAATTGCCAATGACCAGCCCTATAGATACATATGCGCAGGAAAACGAAAGAACATCTAGAATGACAGTAGAAAAAAAAGAAAGAGAAAATAGATAGACTTAATAGATTGTTTTATAAACAGTTTAATAAAGAGGAATAGGTTAAAGAATAAAATGAAAGATAAAACGAATAAAAAAATGATAAAATCCGTAAAAGAGAAAATTAAATAACTAGGATGTCTTATATACAGAGCACGTAATACAAAGGCAGAAGAACAAATAAAATAGGATAGAAATAGCCTTTACAATATACAACTGTTACTGTTAGAGCTTTAGCTTCCACTTGAGGAAACTGCAGTGTGCAAGGTAGATATCCTCTACTAAACAAACATATTTTTCAACTGAACTAAAAAGAATTCCATCCAGCGTCTCCATTTCGTTTTTCGTTAAGAAGCAAAAAATGATCCCCTCGGACTTCGCCTCGTCATCGTCCCGTGCCTCGTCAAGTTTTCAAAAATTCTTCCCTCCCGAGGATCCTCGTCCATCGCTCACCTCTGGTATGCACCGATATCGATATCCATACCCATACCAAAAATACGGACTTTTTTGGATTTTTTCACGTGAAATGAGATATTTTAGCGTTCTGGACAAAGAATTAGGGACGCACAACAAGAGCTTGGTTTGCTTTCTAAAGCCAAAGTTTTTCTTTTTTTCTATCTGCACACACAGATGAGTAATTTTTCTGCGTTCTGCCTGTCCAGGACGCTAAAATATTATATACGCATTTTAAATGAATAAATGCAAAAAGTCGGTATTCCGCTACCGGTGCATACCTAGTCAAATCTGAGACCAGATTCCTGGTTTACAAATAAAACTATGTTAGACGATATGCTACTAACTAAGAAGGGCACTGAGTCTTCGATACATTGTTCATTCGCCAAGGATTTAATGACTACTTGACTACACATCCACAGCTTCCATACAAGTGTCACAATTGCACCATTGCTCAACAGTGGAGACAATCGAGAGTGACCGCTTTGACCTATTTCTTCTGAATAATATCTGACGGGCATTCTCCCGATCTCCCGACGGGGATTCCGTTTTCTGAAAATAGTCTCAATTCGCAACGCCAAGAAGCATGTGGGAATTTGTTAACTGGATTGTGTTGAACTGTACTCCCAGAAATCTCATATTCAAAAAAATGAAAATCTTGCCAAAAACTAGTGGCGTAGCCACTGGGTGGACTCAGTTCATCCACTAATTGGTTTTGCCCGCCAACTACAAGTTTTATAATTCACACTACTCTGCGCTAATGTCTACCACTTTAAAAAAATTTGGAGCAAACGCCCATCCACTAACAAAAACATCATATTTTGAAATATCGAGGATTTATTCCGAGTTCCGAAGCTCGAATTTGATTGAAACACATCACCAAACAAGTTCTTTTGTAGAATTTTTTATTCTGACTCTCGGATCTCGGAATAAGCGGCAAACATAAAAGAACACTGTACAATTCAGTGTAAAAGTAACGAAAAATGGGAGGAAAGTTCATGACTTCAATACAAAGTTGCAGTTACATTTGAAATAAACATAGGAGAAGATATTATTAATTATTTTTTATTATAATACTGAATTTCCATGTGGCTTCCGGAAACTACATAAATGAATAGAGCTGTTTTGATCGTTTGATTTCAGAAAAAAAAAAGTTCTACATTCTTGCCGGTCCTGGAATGCAAAAGCATTCATTGAAACAGTTAATAAATACACAATACTAAGATAATCTATACTATCGGTAGATAGGAAACATACTGTTCACAATCCAAATGAACCAAGGTCAACCAGCAGGACTCGTAGTTGTTCAAATGTGAAATAATAAAATCGTCATGTAGCGTTTAATGATAATATTTTATTAAACAAAGTACAAGTAAGACGATTTCAATATGCGTAAGTGAATTTAAACAATATTTTGTTGGAGATGAATTAAATAACATGTGTACTTGATCAAATATTCCTTGAGCAATTAAACTATGCATTTTTGTTGTGAAATGGTATTCATCAATAAAAATGTGTTTGCTTGTATCATTACACAATATTAATGTAGTTGTACTATTTGTTATCGAATCCCAACATTTATCTAAACTAGTAAATGTATACTTTTCTTTATTTACAATAATTTTTGATACGATTTCATGTACATCAAATAAAATAATTGATATTTGTCTATTATTCTTTTGATATTGTTCAATTAATAGTTTTAAAACTCGATTATGTTCTGTCGATACAAGACTAAGATTTTGACTACGGATTGAGGATACTGCATAATATGGATAATACTGAGATGGTGGTTGATTAGCAATAATAATATATTTACCACCATGAGAAACTAAAGCTTTTATACAGCTGATTATACTCAAACCAACAATTAATGGACTAAGAGTTCGATTAAAAAAGTAATTATTCCCACCAGCTGATATTATATATATCGTTTCATTAGAGTTAAAGTCATTGTTACGCATTTTGGTTAGTGTCTTTAAGTAGATTTGAATTTGTTGTTTTACTCCAGGTACAGCAACAGTACCAGCTTTTGTATAACCCTGCACGAGATTTTCATCTGTAGTTGCTCCTCCTAAGATGCAAAGATTCGGTATTCATAAGTTTAGAATATTTTAGAATATTCTTACCATAAGAATAGTCATGCAAAATCCGACGATCAGATATCATAGCGGCAAATAGTTCAACGGACACATATCCATCGCTAAATCGACCATTAAAGTATGGTGGTAGTGGCCATGTGTGATTGGTTAATCTAAAAGCATTTCCCGTATCGATACTTGAATCTCCAAAACTAACAATTTTTTTAATTGATATCGATTGTTTGGGAATGTAAGATGAATATGTGCAAGAAATTATTAAAATAAAAAAACTATGTTGAAAGTAAATCATTTGAAGATTGCTGTATAAAAACAATCTACGTATGTATATTTGACTGTTAAGTGTTAAGCAAGAAGAAAAAAGCAGTATCTTATTATTCTTTAACTAGATAAAAACATAAGTAAAACAGACACAAAACAGAGTCAGAATTATTTTCTTTCTTGCGTTTATGTAGATAACGAAAAAAGAAAATTATGTTCTTGAAAAGAAAGGTCAATAAGTGAAGCTTATCAGCAAGAATTGTGGTCTAAAATGGAACTGTAATCAATATGAGATAAAAGGATATTTAAAGTTTATGTATGTTTGATGCAGCTAACAGATATTTCTGAAATTAGATTTAGTTTTAGAAATGCAAGTAAATAAACTTCCGTGAGAAAACAACTACATTTAGCTAAGCGCTTAGGAAGAATGTATGCTAGTAAAATTACAATTTTTTTCATGAATACATAGTAAATTATAATAGACTTACACATGGAAATATTCTTTTATCTCATATGTCAAAATTACCCATGGTGTAAGTGTCGCCTTATTTTTGAGGACAGAGAAGCAGATAAGTAAATTCAAGTTGTATTTCTTGATTTCAAAAAAGTTTTTGATAAAGTTTGACATAGAGGTCTGTTATATAAGCTTACGAGGGAACCTCTTGAGGTTATAAATCGCTTTGAACTCGGATTACTTGTATCTTGTAGACCTCAGTGAGTAGTGAAATACCCTAAGTTGGTTCATCCCCATGGTACTTTGTTGCTGAATTTTTAATCAGTTTTTGTCTATAGAGCTTGGATTCCGAGTAAAATCCGACTTTCGAATTTTGACTTGAAACTTGCCACACTGGTAGCCCATGGTCATAGTAGTACGATGGGGAAAAATTCGATCCTAATGAATTTTCCTGCTTGGAGATATTGAGACTCGAACATCTGACCCTCACCCTCACCTTCAGGTGAAATATTCGAGTCTCAATATCTTAAGGCAGGAAAATTCATTAGGATCGAATTTTTCCCCATCGTACTACTATGACCATGGGCTACCAGTGTGGCAAGTTTCAAGTCAAAATTCGAAAGTCGGATTTTGCTCGAAATCCAAGCTCTATAGACAAAAACTGACTAAAAATTCAATATGTCAGCAACAAATTACCATGGGGATGAATCGACTTAGGGTATTTCACTACTCACTGAGGTCTACAAGATACAAGTAGTCCGAATTCAAAAGCGATTTATAACCTCAAGAGGTTCCCTCGTTAGTAGGAAAGGCGTATGTCCACAATTGATTGTGTGGTTAGAAAGTTATCTTCATGATAGAGAAATTATTATTGTAGTTGGAGGAAAACACTCAATAACTCTTTGTATCAATTGTGGAATACCCCAAGGTAGCATAGTTGGTCCATTACTCTTCCTAATCGATATTAATGGCATAGGCGGTGTATTGTCTTCTGTAACTCATATGTATGCTGATGATACACTGTTTGACTACAGTGACAAAGATGATGATGTAGTAAATGATACATTGAATACTGACTTAGATATTGTCTCTAAAGGGTCAAACCGATGGTACTTGCCTTTGAACTATCCAAAATGTGTCATTATGAATTTTTCGAGAAAACCATCGCCAACCCCTCTTACAATAGAAAACCACGTTCTTCAACTGGTATGTTCAGAAACAATGAAAAAGTTCAGAAACAAATTTATATGGAGCGCAAGAAAAATGTATACACGCGGAGGTATACTTAAGGGAGGGGTCCCTCCATTTAGATTTTCTTTAAGATTTCCAGATTTGTAGAGAACACTTTGAAATATATGTTCTGAAGTTTTTTCGGCTTGCTGACATTATTTAGCTAAGAAAAAGATTAATTACTTAAAAAAATGATGTTAAGCTTTTATTAAATAAAAAATTTCCTAGCCGTTTCTCTTTTATCATAAAAATTTGGTTCTCATCTAGATCGATAAAGAAATGTGCGGAGAACATTTACTATGGGAAAAGAAGAAAACATTTTTGCGTTTTCCTTCCTGTTAGTAAGTAATTAGTAGCAGTTAACGTTAATTTAGCCTTCTCTACTAGTTTAAAGTCCCATTTAAAAAATAACGAAAAAATTTAAACAATGCCGCATCTGATAGAGAATTTCTCACGCTACAATTTGATATACATATAATATAGAGAAAAAAGTGTCCTAGGGTACCTTGACAATAGAAATGTTTTTGCAAAACCAGAATTCTGCTTGTAATTCTCAATTTTCTCCATAAAAACTCAACTTGTATTGCAATCAAGATCTTCAATATAATAATATCTTCAATTAACTTGTATTTTTGTAAAGTATTTATTTAAGCTTGTGTACTTCCATTTAACTTTTTGTTTACTTTACCAAGAAAAAATAAAAAAGTTGTTTTACTTACAAAGTACAAAGTAAATGCCTATTTTACTTTCACTAAAACAAAAAGTAAAATTTAGATTTCCATTTACTTTGTAAAAGTAAAAAGTATTTTTTACTTTACTTTTGGAATGTAAAGTCAAAATTTATCTTTACTTTATGAAAAGTAAACAAAATATTTTCTTTTACATAGTAAATAGAATGTGTCACCGCTAACTCGTACTTGAATGCCTTAGTCAGATTAGTTTTCTCTCTGGTTATGTTATCTTTTTTTGTCCAAAATAAAAGGATGATTAATCTGTGTTACATTGTAATTTTTTCGTGTTTGTGTGCCACTTCATAGAATAAACGTAGTTCGCTAGAATCTTGCTGAGTTTTGTGTTTATTTGTCTCATCATTGAATCCTACTTAAAGTTCAATCACTTCAAACAAGGAATACAAGGATGAACCAATCTGTTTAAAATTATTTGATTGATTAGCTTCGGGGAAGTTGGAAATGTGAGTAGATCGGTTTTTATCAATACTTTTCAAAGACTAATTTTCGTTCAACCGATCAGGATTGCAAGTTCCTAGTCGTGCTGTATGGTTGAGAAGAACAAAAGTCTTAACTTTTATTTTTTGTCCATTTAGTATGCAGTTGTTTAATTTCACTAAAATGCTGATCAAATTCGTCTGTTCCATCCAAATTGGGAGTAAGGTCTCCAAAAAGAAGCGCCTGATTCTCCGAGCTCATGGTGAAGTATAAATAATTGATGAGCATCACTCATTAAGTTTGCCTAAACGTTACATTCATTACTCTCCGAGTTTCTCCAAAATTGGGAGTAAAGGGCCCATGACTTCCTCCAAAATGGGAGTAAATGGGTCTTGATTTTGTTCAAAATCGGAGCAAATCACTCTCCGAGTTTCTCCGAAATGAGAGTAAATCGTTAATATTTTTTTCACAAATCGGGAGTAAATTTAACCAAATTTTTTAAAAAAGTATGGGGGGGCACCCCCCTTATCGTCTTCTTCATCAGTAACGAACGTTCCGGTATCCATCTTAATTAATTCATTACTAATTAAATCACATGTCTTATCAGATTATACACGACCATAATAATTTAAAAATTCTTGATGATTATGATTATTATTTTTTTGATAAACAGAAAATGATTTTGTAAAGTTTCCATACTGCTGAGACGAAATGTTCGTTTTACATACGCATAAAAACTTTCAATTCGATTATTTGTATTGTTCAACAACGTTGTTATATTTTTTCTCATAAAACAGTAACCTTTACCGTTGCATTCCTAGTCATCACGCAACAACCGCTGTGCATGTTAGCTTCATTTTACACTTTACACAAGTAATCTGAACTCTTACGTCGCTTTAGTATTTTGCCATACGAAAAATTTCGTATTGCACTTAGAGTAAGACATTTTGGATTATTGTCGATTTCGAATAATCGAAGTTCGATTATTCGATTTTTAATCGAAATCAGTGCATGCCTATTGGTAATCGTATAGTTACAGTCTTTTATCTATCTAACAAAACTTTCAAATTCTAATAAAACTTCTTTTTTTAAAAATATCTTGATGAATTAAGTTCATCAATAACTACTTTATGCTACACTCACCCGCAAAAGCTTAATATCAATACGTTTGAGAAAGACGTTTCTTATTAAGCGCGATAAAAATTTCGAAATCTGCAAATGCGAATTTAAAATGCTTTTTCATAGACATCCTTAGTATCAGTTCATTGATACTAAGGATTTAATTTGAATTGATACTAAGATTTAACTTTAATGCATCTAAACGAGGCATCAATTATTAACCGGTCCATTAACTCTTCCTTCATTTATCGCGGACCCATTTTTCTTTGCATCAACATGTTGGCTGAACATTTGAATGAGATCATATTTTGCTGGTAAAGATGTGGTGCCTAATCTACATATTTGAATATTTTCCATATTGCTACCGTAATAAATTGATAACAATCCAGTATATAAATAACTATTCACGAACATATCGGTTTTCGGGATTCTTCATTTAATAAATAATGCACCGGTAGTTTCTCCAGCACTTCGTTGAATTTTTCACAACATAATGGAAGAAAAAATTGCTTTTGTTTTGGTGCACTAATAGATGGTAATATTTCAGATTCTTGATTCAATAATAGACAAAATGATTATGATGATATACCAATACGACTGGAAAATGCTGACATTTATCCGCTATTTGTAATAATGATAGATAAATTCCAATGATATCGTTTGGTAGAAAACCACTTGTTGTTTGAGAATCTAACTCGGATAACCCGAGTAGAATAATTGGTCTATAAAGCAAATTAGCCAAAACAAATATATGAAACGACTCAAGATAGCCGCCTATATATGCTAATCCTTCTGTTCGAATATCAGTCAGGGTGTCAGTGATGTGTTTCCATTCCTAAAAAGTGGAAATAAACCTATTTAGAATAGATTTGAATGCAATCCTTATTTATACGTTATAAAATAACTCCAAATTCCTTCTTTCTCTCCAAAACTGTGAAAAAATACCAGACAACCAGCGATAAAAGAAATTTCAAGTCCATTCAATGTTATTTCATCTGGATGAAAATGAATAATCGATAAAGCGTTTCATTGTTATTGTCCATCTATGTCTCAATGAATATTCATTAGATGCGAAAAAATTTATTAATTCATGGCGAAGAATGAATTGATGATCGTGTACATAGGTGGCGCAAGTTAAAGTTCCTAGGGGTAGCAATAAATTTTTTAAACTCATAATTTTAATAAATAATAACAACTCCCAGTTTTCACTTCTTCTAACAACTCCCAGAATATGTGTTATTAGGGGTAGCAATAACTTTCTATTGCTACCCCTAATTTTCTATAGGGGAACCCTCGCTACTATGGCGCGCCGCCTATGATCGTGTAGACCGCATAAATAAATACAGCATGCATGTAGCAAACAATTACCATCGCCTAAAATAGGTTAGATAATTTTGCATAATACAAAATACTTTATATACTAAAAATTCCCACCGCGCGTCTGCACAGGATATAGTTTTTTACAAAACGGTAACCACTTAATTACTTTTTCTTTCTCGAGTGAGATATTTGTATCTATCAAATAATCAAAAATTTCATCAAAGATTTGTTCGTTACGGCTTCTAATTAAATGTGTGCGTGATCCTAAGGTCTTTGGTCGTTGTAATATGACATTTTGAACTTTATGAACAACTTCGCATATTTCGGATAATGGATCATTTGAAATCTTTACGAAAAATGCGTCAAAATACATAGGCTTTCCCGCCAAATATTACAACTGATATTGAATTCCAGAGTGCACATTATTCCCTTGACTTTAGTCTAGGGTCTTACGAAATGGTTGTCTGTGTGTCTGTGTGTCCGTGTGTCTGTGTGTCTGTGTGTGCGCAAAATACGGAAAAATGGGTGTTAGATATTCTATGGATAAGCGAATCACAAGAGAGAGAAGTAGAAAATTATTTTTTACAGAAGGGAGAAAATATTCAAAGAGATGATCTGAAATATCTACCGCTGCAGAGAGACAAAAAGCTAAGCAAACGTTTTCTGTAGGCCGGTGATAGATGTCGCCAGATAGCAGCCAACTGTGATAATACAAGGAAAGTCGGCTACGGATACTGTAACTTACAGTGTATAGAATAGCGAATCGATTGAAAATAGTTCCAATCTCCTCAGGATCCGTAAAGAGTGTCCAGAAAAGCTTTTAGCTTTATTTACATTGGATGGTTTTTCCTTGGAAGCAGAGAAGTTCACAGCGTTTCTCTGCTATAATGGCTGCGAACGCCGACCGAAGGGAGGCGTGAGCATTGCTGTGAGTTCAGAAATTTTTTTAGACTTCTGGGACTTTTTGCCTCGTATATTTACGAACCTTACACATGAAAAAAGAAAAACATCAAGAAGATGGCTTAGTCAGGCCCCCAGCGAGCACCGACCGAAGGGAGGCGTGAGCATTGTCTTCGATTTAAAAATCACGAAAGCGCGTTCAGTAGCGCAGATCCAGGTTATTAAAGTCAAGGGACCGAGCGAGTGGAGACGAGCGTTACCTTGTATTTAATGATTTCTCCACGGTGCATATATATAATATATACCAAAACAAAAAGTAACAAATTTTTCTCGCATGTTTTGAATCTTTCTGATTGGTCGTGTCCATGGAATCCAGAAACAGATCCAAAAAAGCGATAGAAAAGAGGAAACAAGAATCGAGCAATGCGGCCTATGAAATTGATGAGTTTTGCGTTATGTTTTAGGATGAGATAAGACGTTTTTTTTATTTATATTTCACAATAAATCGTGTTTTCTCGGTTTGAATTCTGATTAGTTGTATACCACCATTATAAAAGATTGATTTGATTCAACCTTCTGCAACATAAATGCAGTTTCGATGAATTCTACTTGCTTGACAGTTGACGTTAAATTAACTATTAAAAATTTGCGTTTTATTTGTGATACTTCAAAGAGAAGAGAAAACAAATGAGAGCGACAATTCAGATTTTTTACTGTCCTAAAAATACTTTATTTTGAATTAGATTGATACTGATGATAATAGGATGTCATAAACTATTTAAATTCTCAACAATATTACAGTACTATCTAAGACTTGAATGTTTTTAAGCCTTGTAAGATGAAAAGACACACGAACACTTGTCTAGATTTCATCGCAGAGAACAATACATTAATTATCCGAACCAGGGGGTCGTATCACGAAAAAACTTAAGTCAAAATTTGGACTTAAGTCTCAGTCACTAACTTAAGTCGATCTTAAACTTAGACTTAAGTTTTTTCGTGATACGATCTCCAGAACTGCCCGTTCAAGAATCTAAATGTGATGAAACTCCTTATCGTTAATAAAGAAAAACACGAAAAAAAAGTTTTATATAGTTTTAGCACACATTAAATTTGTGTGTTGATTTCAGATATTAAAAAATAAGTAAATCGAATCATGTCAAAACATATTCTTGTTTATGGTGGAAAAGGAGCTTTAGGAGATAGACTAGTGCAATATTTCAAAGGAAAGAATTTTGTATGTTGCATTTGTTTCGATATCATATATCGAAAGATTTTCTATGTTTAGAAAGTAACATCGATCGATCTAAAAGAAAGTGAGCATGCTGATGTGAATATAATTGTTAATGATAGTGACACGTTAGAACAACAAGCAAAATTCGTCAACGAAAGTGAGATTTAGAACAAAATTTCGATATTAATTTGCGTTGTTTTTTCTTAATGTTCACTATTCGTTTGTTTATTTAGGTATTCGAAACAAATTAAATGATGAACGTATTGATGCAATCCTGAATGTTGCTGGCGGTTGGGCTGGAGGGAATGCAAGAGCAGAAGGTGAACTTGGAAAATACATTTGTTTTTTTTATTTCTTCTCTTTCTTCTTCACTCAGGTTTTATTAAAAACTCGGAATTAATGTGGAAACAAAGTATGTGGTCATCATTAATCGTGGCCTCATTAGCTAGTAAATATCTAAAAGAAGATGGTCTATTAACGTTGCCGGGAGCAGCAGCTGCTTTAGAGCCAACAGCAGGTGAGCCATTGAACTGGTGAAACAAATTTAATAGCCTAGTTTCCTCACTTTATTTCTGTATTCTAGGTATGATTGGTTATGGTGCAGCTAAATCAGCTGTTCATCAAATGACAAAAAGTTTAGCTGCACAAAACAGTGGTTTACCAAACAGTGTATCGGTCTTCGCTATTGCACCGTATGTTTTTTGTAGTGGCTTCTATTAATTATTTCTGTCATGTTTTTATAGCCGTCTTGTGAATCAACTTTAATTCATTCATATCTTTAAGGATAACTCTTGATACACCAATGAATCGGAAATGGATGCCAAAAGCTGATATGTCGACTTGGACTCCGCTCGAGTATATTGCCGAGTATGCGTACTACTGTCTTTTCTTGCTTACGACTTACACAAGTTGTTTCTTTTTAGAATGTTCTTTAGATGGATTGATGAACCCACATCACGACCAAAAAATGGTTCTATAATCAAGTTAACGACAACAAATGGAAAAACAGATTTAGGATTCCATTGAAAACTCTAATCAATCATTTTTATACTTATTTTAATTATGCTTTCTTCTCTGATGTCTTATTCGTCTAGTCAATTTGACAAACCCTTTAACCTTTTTATGATATTGCTTTGTTTTCTGTAATTTGTTATTTTTGTATTTTACAAACACTGATAATTCCACTTAGGAGCAGTATCGTCTATTCAAATTTTTTGAACAAAACTGTGCACTTTTTTTCGATACATTTGTTTTTTTTTGATACATTCGGTGATTCAATAACATATTCCTGTTCTTTTATGGGTGACGCGGATCATACAAGAAAAAATAAATAAAAACGATTCAATCTACTTTTGGTAACATTTAGCATGAAAAAATGGTATTATCTATATACGCCATTCTTCACACTTGTCCACTTCAAATGTTTAATTACAGTTAGATATTTTTTTAGTATACCATCTAAAAAGTTTAAGTTAACAATGAAAATTTTTTCAGTCAGAAAAGTTTTCTCTGTTTTTTTTCAAAGAAATAAATATGCTAAGAGTAGAAATGTTCATTTTAAAAATAATACTATTATGGCACGTACATGCCATCAGAGACAATTGTATAATAGTCATATTCGTTCTCTATTCTTCTTCTATGGGTATTTTCTCTTCCTGTCATATATGTATCTGTATTGTTCTCTTTCTTGCTGTCAGGGAATTTCTCAGTAATATCTCTTGGTTTCGTTCTGTACTGTTTCTTTTCTTCAAGAGATATTCCAATGTATTCTTTTAGCTCTGAGTATGACCCACCGTTTCCGTTTAAGCTCAGATATAAATAGCTCCTAATTTTATGTAAAGGTCATCTTGTTCAGTAATAAACTACTTATACACAACAACGTATTACGGACCTAACAAATACAGATTTGAAAAGATCTTTTTGTCGTTCAAAGTGGTTGGTATCAGAAAACTCTGTAAGATTTGTATATACCAGAAAAAAATGAAACACTATTAACTCTTGGTCAATATGGTTTCTTCTTTGGACATCATAACAAACTTTTTCTTATTCTTTTTAGATTTGCAGATATTTTTTTGTATGTACACATTTAAAGGAGAAAAATCAATGACTAATCCTCCGTTGCTCTATAAGATTGGTATTGAATACCTGGCAAAGATTTTGTTATCAACAATAGCTAAAATAGATTCAGATTTTGACGACACTGACGAAGAAGATAATGAAGATGAGATGCCGTTGTATATGCCTGAATTAAAAAATTTATCAACAAGATTAAATGATTTATTATTAGAAGAATTAACCAAACATATGAGATGTGAAACACATTCGACTTCGTCAAATGGTAAATTTTTATCTATATTCAGCAAACCAATTGTAATTAAAAAGTCAGTAGTACCATTAGTCACTGTAACACGATTAGATTTCCAATGTTGTTTATTTATTACTGACAAATCATTTTCAACATTGATTAATCAAGATTTAGTAGAACTAATTGATTTACGTAATACGCACATAACGTATCACATATTTAACATATTATCCCAATATTTTCCACGATTGAAATATTTACGGTTAGGAAAATCAGATATGAAAACCTATCAGGATCATTATCTTCATGATAATTTTTTATCGTCTTTATTTCCTACCACTATTAATCATGAAAAATCATCATCCACATTCATTAAGAAATCTAGTCTAAAAGTTTTAACATTTGAAGGAGTTGATCTTCCCTTACTCGATACTAAAACAAACGAATACATTCAAGACATAATATCGTTGACAGTGATTCATACATCGATTCGGTTGAATTATCTTGATCTTTCACGTTCTACAATCATAAATGATCTATCATGTTTATCGAGCTTAAAATGTTTGAACACATTAATATTATATGAAATAAAGCCAAGGTATATATATATCATTTTACCGTTTGTTTTGTATAATTTATCCATATTTCTTGCTATTTCGTTTTAGTGTTATTGAAAAATATATTTCACAAATATGTGAGCTGAAAATGTTAACGACACTTGATTTATCATGTTTAAAGCATGATCCTGATTCCTATCAAAATCCCACGTATATATTAGCAAAATTAGTCTGTTCATTAGAACACTTATCATCATTAGATATAAGTGGAACAAATCTAGGTGGAAGCAATATATTTAAGCAAGAGGAAGAACTACAATATTTATGCAAAAAATTTAATATTACAAATATTGAGTAGGTGAAAATAAAGACTTGTAAGCGAAATTGAAGATGACAACATTTATCAGTCAAAAAATGAACGATAGAGTTTCTGATTTTTTTGCTTATATATGTAGAGTCTTGCGGGACAAACTTTTCTGTTGTCTCGAACATCCTTTGTTCCATTCCGTAAGCTCGAACCCGTGAGCAAATAATGTTGTCCTGAACCCGTTTGTCTGGTGAAAAAAATCTACGGGCATTTTTTCCCGTTATTTTTTGAAAAAGCTTTTCTGTTGAGATAAACCGTAACTGTTACAAGAGACGTTTAAAATCTCAAACTTATTTTTGCAAAATCCGTATGACAAAATTTAAGCTTAATTTATTTGATTCTAAACTTAAAAGTTGCTGTATAAAAAAATGTTTTACATCCACTCCCCACCTCAGAATCGAAAGGAATAAAATGTAAACCAACTTTTAGATATGAAACATGTTCTCAAGTTTAAATCCAGACTATTTCGCCTCTCCAGGTTAGCTTTTATTAGTTATTATAAAAATACGGTTTTTGTTTGACAGTATTACAAGAATTAAAGGTTTGAAGTTGCAGCATAATTACAATCAAAAGACAAAATTTACGCGACAACATTTTTCTGCGATTTGTCCCGACCCCGTAAGCGCAAGCCCAAGCCCGAAAAAGTTATTCTTTGTCGCCAGCCCGTCTGTCCCGCGGGAAGAGCTTCGGGGCTGTTCCGCTGGGTTCTACATATATATAATAAGTTTTTGATTTAGAAGCTATTCTGTTCAATCAAGTATACCCGCTTTACTTCTTCTAAAGAAACCGTTGGAATTCCTTGGTGTACTTGAATGTGATAATAGTGTCTCAACACGAGATTATTTACCAGCAAAAAAAGTAGGTTTATTTTATGTTATATTCTTTAAATTTAAAGAAAAATTTGTTTTTCTTTGGCTGATAGGTTGCGGGAGAAGCAACAGAAGTTCAATTGATAAATGCCATGATTCACTATCATAATCGATCAGGAATGTTGGGTACAGCATTAGTACAATTATTCGATTTCTATCGGACAGAAACGATGCATGATCCACTATATGGCGGCAAGGTAAGGTCATTTTTTTTCTTCTCAATAAAGTACGATAATGTACGTCAGTGTAATCGACAAGTATACAAATAAAAGATTTTGTTAAAAAAAGTTTCAAAGCTTTTTGTGATCTGTTTTCAGCGCTAGTCGACAAACAGTTTGATCTCAAAAGCTACATTGTTTAATTAGGGCTGGATCAGATCTCATTAAAATCCATATCCTAATTCAGAGATGAAAAGGCTGATCAGCATGATCATTCAGCTCTGAATCTGATGGGGGAATCAGCGCTGAGTTTTCTGAAAGTGCCAACTTCCCATGAGGTCCGTTAATTATGCATTATTCCTCATACTATCTACTATCTATAAACAACAACAATGGAACAGATGAACCAACAACCAACGACAAATAACACATTAATATACTAATAATATGAAATATCTACATATCAATATTAATTCAGCCCGACAATATAAAGAAGAATTATTATCATTATATCCTGAGTGCGATATCATCTCCATGAACGAGCCAAGACTCAGTGAAATTGTTCCTTATCATCTCCTAGGATTTAATGTGTATCGTCATGATCGAGATAATCGAGGTGGTGGTGTACTGATGGCAATTAGAGCAAATATCAAATGTACAGAAATGTTAAAAAAGACTATTGAAGGTAATGAAATAATAGCAATACAGATCCAAATAGCAAACAATAAAAAATTCTTGGTGGCTTCCATCTATGTACCACCAACTAAAAAATTGAGTTTAAAAGCCTTACAACAACTTCTCAACATCAACAAAAACTGCTTAATAATGGGTGATATAAATGCGGCATTAGCAAGACTAGGATCCCGAAAAACAAACAGAAATGGCCAGATCCTCAATAAAATTCTTCGAGAAGTGGAGTTATTTGCAATTGACAGCAACATGGCAACGTATGAGATGGATGATTATGAGGAAAGGATCGACTGGGTACTTGACACACATTCAATCTTTCTCCAAATTAATCACTTTGAAACTCACACTCCCTTTGGATCGAAGGGCGGACATAGGCCAATCACCTTCAACGTAGACGCCACAGCAGAAATCAGATCATCAACACCACGTCAACAGTATAATTTCCATGCGGCCAACTGGCCTCAGTTTACACTGGAAGTAAATTCCCGGCTAGAGGCGCATCCACCGAAGGAGGTAAGCAGCATCCAAGAAATAGAATCCTATTCAAAATTTATCACTAATGCTATCAATGATGCATGCTCAATAGCAATAGCTAAAATAAACAACAGTCTACGATCCTATAAACCAAGTAAAGTAACTCTAGATTTATCAAAACAGAAACATCATTACTCCAGAGATGGAAAACAACACTATTACCGTTATCGAGAACTAGCTGCAAACTTAATCAGAAATGATAAAGCTAACTCACTCAAAAAACTAATGGTATCTCTAACAAAAAATAAGATGAATGGTACTCAGGTATGGTCAGTGGTGAAAAGATATCACAACAAAAGAGTAAAACAACAATTTGGTGTCATCTACTACCAAAATCAAATGGCAACAACAGATCATCAAAAAGAAGAAGTCTTCGCTAGTTATTTTGAGAAAGAGGTCTACCACAACAAACCTAACACTATCAGTTTTCACGATTTCTATTGGCCAATAACCATAGATTGAAACATCAACAGTATAAGCAACTAAACTTTCCTCCAATGATGAAAAACGGATTGAAAAGATTTTGAAACAATTAAGAAATACATCACCTGGTCCTGACAATATACATAATTGCCGTCTTAAAAATTATACACAACTATTGGTTAAACATCTTCTATGTTTACTCAACAGCAGTATGAAACTGGGATATTTACTAGAATCATGGCGAACAGCCCACATCATCCTGCTACACAAACGAGGTCAAACACCCAACCAACCATCAAGTTACCGACCGATCAGTTTGCTAAGCTGTATTGGTAAATTACTCGAAAGTACAGTCAAATGCCACCTGGAACAATTTCTAAACTAATACAATACCTTGCCGTGGTACCAGACCGGATTTAGAAACTCTAAAGGTACATTCTTAGACTAGAAAGTTACCCCAGAAAGAATTTAGATGAAAACAGACATGTAGGCGCAATATTTTTTGATGTGAAACAAGCATTCGATTCAGTATGGATAGACGGCCTCATTTACAAGCTAGCAAACTTTAAAATACCAACATATTTATTCTTTTGGATAATCGGATTTCTTCACCATCGAACAGCTCACATAGAACTAGAAAATATTTTGTCTAGACAATTCGTTCTCAAAAGCGGCACATCTCAAGGTTTCCCACTGAGTCCTCTTCTCTACATCACGTACTCGGCGGATTCAGTGAACAGCGCACCACAACATACAGAGAAAGGTTTGTTCGCGGATGATACGTCCTTCTGGATCGCCAGCAACAGTCCTATCAGCTTACAAAAACGCCTATAGGAGTCAATAGATGAATATCAAAAATGGTGTTACTGGTGGAAACTGGACCTTCAACCGACAAAAACAGAGTTCATCCACTTTACTCATCACCCACGAAAATATAAAAATAAAATTCAGCTAAAAGTTGGCAACGCCACAATCACGACTCTAACAAAAGCCAGATATCTCGGCGTAATTTTTGATCAACAGCTGAAATGGAATCATCATGTGCAACATGTAAAAGAAAAAACCACCAACCGACTTAGTTTGATAAGATTTCTAGTTAAATCCATATTAGATGTCAACAGTAGAATTATTTTGAATTTGTACAAAAGTGTAATACGGTCCATAATCTCCTATAGTGCATTGATTATCCTTACCTTAGAAGACCAACACGTACAACAATTACAAATCATACAAAATAAATTTATAAAGACGGCACTTTCACTACCCTGCTACACCTCTACTACTTATATACATCAAGTTGCCAACGTCCTTTATTTTAGAGAATTTTGTGAGAAACTAACAAGAAATGCACTGTAAAGAGCAAGAGCTAATCAAGAAAATCTGTTAGCAACATTATTAGAAGAAATCATAGAAACTTCTACCACTCACACAATAATACCATAAATATTAAAACTATGCACTTTTTGAAAGAATGATGTAAAAATTAGTTGTTTTTTTTTCGGGCAAAAGACTACGTGTCAGCGCTCTTTTTGTCTCCAGGTTTTTTTAAATAAAGCCGATGATTCCTCCTATCTAGTACTTATACTTGTTAACTTACTTGCTAAGTACCTTTCTTACTTGCAAAAAACTGCAGGTACTCTGGATATTACTTATCGAAGTATTTTTCTAAGTACTTGTTCTCAAGTACATTGACTAGGGCTTTAACCAACATTCTTATGAAATCTTGTCAGATTTCATATGCTCTTGTAAGGTCTTGTGGTGTCCTGTAATATGAATTACAAGATCATATTTCAAGATGCTTCACCCTGAAAAGCTACATATTTCTTATATGTCAAATTGAAGCTTATTTTAACCGGACCTCAATGGCATAGCCTTTTGTGATAAAAAAAGTAAAAACTCTTTTCAAAAGATAGGATTTTGAAAAGGTCCGTGGAAAATCCGTTAAGTATTTCAAAATTTGCATTAGCAATGAAAAAAATTCCAGAAATTCCAGTTTTTAGACGACACTGAACACTATTTATCTATCTGAAAAAACAAATACATTGCTATTTTAAACTTCGAACGGATTTTCCACAGACCGTTTCAAAATAATACCTTCTAAAAAGAGCCTTTACTTTCTTTATCACAAAACACTATGGCATTGAGGTCAATTGAAAATAAGCTTTAATTTGATATATAACAACTAATTGTATACTTCGGGTGGTTTAGGCTGTAGCCCGTAGAAAACACTATTCTGTTATTCTATTATTCTACTATTCTAGTCTTTTACTATTCTAATCATTTCTATCCAACAACTTAATTCATAATATAATGAAGTAATGCAAATTATGCACTAGTAATATGCCTTAAAATGTTTTTCTATTCTACTTTGTATCCTACAATTCTAACTGTCAAACCGAATACTAAATCAAGTGAAAATTTCTATCCAACGGAAATTCGCTCAGCTCTATTTCTTTAAGCTGATTCTTTCCATCAAAACAAAGTTTATGGAAAAGAAAAACTTACTATGTTTGTTTGTCTAGCTTATTATGGATGCAATGGAGAATCATATTTATAATCATGATATTCAAACATCTGGCAGGTAACTAACTTATCTTGATGAATGATGATTTACACAAGAAAATTTCGCTACTTATTTTTGATTTAGTGCTTCTCTATACTATATCATCTACAAATTTCATCGACCCAATGCCATATCCGACCTGGATACATCCTATCTACAACGTATTATTAATGATTTATTAAATGCCATTAATGTTCATCCAAGAGATGTACCCGTATGTTTTTTTTTTTGTAGAAGAAATGTTTTTTGAATATTACTATATTTAATATTTTAAGACAATTCGCAATGGAATATTAACAATTTCAAAATTAAACTTACCAAACGATATTGTACGTTAAGATTCATTTCAATGATACATTAGTTTTATGTTCGCACCATTTATTTTCAGATATTTGTATTTGAAAAAACTGTCAATGTTTTGCTAAAATTACTCAGATTACATCAGTATGAAAATGTAAATTATGATGCGGTACTGTTATATAGTGTAATTAACCTGTTGAATTATATCGCTTGTGGCGTTGATCATGAAGAAAAATTAACAATTGGAAATTTGCGCACTATTGAAGTAAATCGACAAAAATTTCTTTTCTTTTCTTTCATATCTTACTCAATTGAACTTTGTGGATTTTTCTTTGCTTTAGATAATGATGTGTTTGATACAAACACGTATAAAAACACAGGTTGCCGACGATTTACTCGAATTAGCTTGGACAGTATTGTGGAACATAACAGATGAAACAGCTGAGAATTGTCGAAAATTTATTGAAGAAAATAATGGTCTGCAAGCATTTGTAGATTGTTTGAGAGTGTTTGGTGAAAGACTTGATGTCGTAAGAAATGTTCTTGGCCTTCTGGTAGGTAAAGTAATATTAATTTAAATTATAGAAAATAATAATTATTGTCTCTTGTAGGGAAATGTTGCTGAAGTAAAAGAATTAAGACCTTATTTGATCAATGATATTCATGTTGAACAATTTCGGTAGAAAGTTTTTAATCTATGTCAAATATCTGTAAATATATCATATACACTTCATTCCAGAATGTTAATGAAACAAAGTAATGCGAATCTAGAAGTAAGATACAATTCTGGCGGAATCTTAGCGCATATTTTGAATGATGGTCCTGAAGTATGGACTATTAGCACGGATCGAAATGAATTAAGTAATGATATGTTTGAAATGATTAAAGACTGGGATATTCATCTGGATCGAACAATAAACTATAGGTAATTGAGCTCTATTTCACTGATAAATCTGAAACAAAATTCTATATTTTTAGATCGTTTGGTCCAATTTTACGCCTTCTAAACGAAAATAATGCGAGTGGTAGTTTAATGTGGGCATCTTGGGCTCTAGCCAATCTTACAACAAAAAATCGTAGGTGTTTTGAATTGTATACGTTTATTTATTTATTTTTTCTATATTTGATTTAATCTTATTTAGCTGATAAATATTGTTCATTACTTCGCAAGGAGAATGGTGAAGAGCTATTACGTCAGTTATTGAACTCTGAAACTGTCGAAACAGCTATCAAACATTTAGCACAAACAGCTTTGGATGCCGTATCAGCGTAAGAATTCATTTAGTATATTGCTGAATTTATTTAAAAATAAGGCGCCGATAGTTAAAAACAAGAAATTAACGTTTAAATTTAGTTTTAAAGCACAACTATAGGTAAAAAACAATGTAGAGTTAGATGAACACATGTTCATTTAATGAATTTAAAGTTTAAAGACTGAAAAGTAGATCAATCTGCGAAATGACTCACAATAACTACTTAGGAAAACTTTAAAAGCTCCATTTTAAGGAAAAAGTTTTCTGGTAACCCTCTGGAGATCTAGAAAATATGTCTGTTGGAATCTACGTTGTTTTTTACCTATAGTTGTGTGCTTTAAAACTAAATTTAAACGAGAATTTCTCGTTTTGCAAAAAAATGGCTTGCTCATTTTGGGGAGGATTCCAAAAAAATGAATTTTCTTAACAAGGAAGTAAAATAAAAAGAAAATGATGTTTAAGTTTTTTCGTGATGTTCTGCCGGCTAGAATGAAATAAAAAAAGTGGCTTTATCTGCTAGCTAAAAATACTTGATTAGTTTGCAAACTAGCACAGGGACAATCCCATCATTGGCTGAGACTCAAGTCCGTTAATATTTGAACAGATTCAAACCGATGTTTCTAGACTCAGTTTTTGATGCTGAATCAGAAAAAAACTATTTGAAAATTTTAGCCAAACGGGGAAAGACGAATGTTTTTTCAAAACACAGCGTTTTTTCATAAATTATAAAAATTTTGTCTTTCGACTTTTCTTCTCAAAAATTTTTTCTAAAAATCTGAAACCAACATTTTCTTACTCATATCGAGGCGCTCTATCCAATCATATATAAATATCGCGAAAAAGAAATTCTTCTCAATTTTTGAATTACTGGCGCCTTACAAATTGTATTTTCTGAAGCACACACACATACACTGATTTTTGCTATCTATTTCCTTGCTGCATTCGAAGTAAATTACGTTCTTAAAAATGCGAATTTCCTTACAGTAATTGTATGTGAATTTGTTCGTAATTGTAGATTTATCTATCGAAATATAGTTTTCAATTAGTTCTAGTTGATATCAGATGAGAATTGAAGATTTTTAATCCTATACTCTGTTACAGAATAAAACAAATATGATAAATATAATTGTTTTTTTGTTCTTTAGCTACTGTGATAATTCCATGTCAAATGAAATTGAAATGACCGACGAACAGTGATGTAATCTTGTTTAGTTTACAAAATTAAGTTTTGAGAATTTTAAGACAATTTTAGTTTTTGTCTTTTTATTACATATTAATCTGCATTTAATTTATGTATATATCCATTTTATATGCATGCATTCAGGCACTTGTTCATTTACTATAATTGTGCCCGGTAAGTAAATGTACAGCGTATTTATTCCTTTTTTTTTGTTATTAATATCTCATCATAGTTTCATAATGCTCTTTTCTGTTTTACAACAAATGTTGAATTTTAACATACAATTATTTTGTTCTCAATGTTAGTTTTGTTTACTTTCGCTATAGTGTATATTTATAACTATTTTTTTGGTTATTTTTCTTACGAAAATCTAAATAAACTAGAAAAACGAGTGACCTCTTTAACTGATTGGATAACATATTTAAGGCCACAGAGCGGAACAGCGGAGAGCAGTCTTGATTTTCTCTTTTGCGTTGCTATGTTTTTGTCATCATACTTTCTTATTATTATTTTACGTTACTTTTCAATCTCACTGCAACCATGTTCTCTAACATCAACCTGATGAACATGTAAGATGCCAGAATAGGGGCATCCCATTGGCGTACAAGAAATGTCCTTTTTCCAACAATTTCAAACGCACCTCCGTGTGTTTATGATAAAAACAGTCAAATTCTAGTTGACTGAAACAGGTTATCCCACACTTTTTGATGATCTCGGAGCATCTCGTACAATGACATATGATTCATACATTTACAGTTTTCCAGAGCTCTACATTGTAGTGTATGGTGCAGAGAAAACCATAGAGTTTCTTTTTATTTGAGACCTTGTTTCTTTTCAAAAATTATTAGTTAAATCAGTTGTTAGACGCCAGTTTTCTTTTCTTAGTGCCTGCAGAAAAACAATGAGAGAAAGTGATTTTCGTTCCAAATGTTTACTCTTCTTCTTATACTATCTCTGCTTTGCAACTGCTTTCTCCTTTTCAATCACCCATTGTCTAGTTTTTCAAAAAAGCGGCGTGACGATAAATTTAGACTGATAGCAGGACCACTTTTCCAAAAGATCATAAAGCAATCGGTCAAAAAGCAGTAGAGATATGTGATTCCGATCTGGAGAACACTTTTTTCATGTATTAGATAAGATTCATTTGAACTTGCTCCGCTTATAGCACATACTAACCCTCTTATTGTTTCTCGCACTATCTGTTCCTAGATACATCTGTAGGAGACGAAGTTTCAGCACAATGAACCAAAACGAATATTGATTTATTAGACGTTTCAATTTCAGAAACAGGTCTTTTCTACTAATTTTTCACGTTTTGTTACACTCATTCAGTTCTTATAGATTTTGTGTCGAACAGTAACTTCAACTAAATACTAACTAATTCATTCTCCGTGCTGTTTAGATATAATTTGAACGTATTTAGTGATTTCTCGTATGCCATACTATTAGGTTGTTCGTGCTATTAGTACAGCATAGTTCTACTTCAGTCGCTTTCACTCTGTCTTCATGCAGACTTCACATAGTGTAGTTGCTGTCTAGTTTAGATCCGATTTTTACTTAGTCAGTTACCAATGATCAACAGTAAAAGTTCTTTCATACCGGATTGCGGATGTCTATAATCAAAATTATCATATGAAATAAGTATAAATCGATTAGAAACTACTCTGACGTTATAATAGTTTGTCTTTAAATCTTGAATATCTTGACTTGTCACGAATTACTGCCATTGACTACTTTAAGAATGCGTCCCTTTTTTTGAAAAAAATTTCGATTTTAAGTTGAACATAGTCTTATGTGGAGGAAATTCTAGGCTACAAAATAAGACCATTTCCAACATTCCACGACCTTTTTGAAGAAAGCTATGAATTTTTAAAGTTTTTGCTGAGGAGGCTGAAAAAACTCAATTTTTTTGTTTCCTAAATTTCTCTCCTTTCCAGTACCTTCAAAAATATGTCTTATATAGTTTGATAATGCAAAGTATTCTATTAATAATGAGATGTCTTCCAAAATTGTGCTGACCACAAGTGACCTGTCTAACGTTATCTTAATGTTCAAAACATAGATAGTTTCGGTCAGTACACATTACGACTCCCTCGAAAGTTCATCCAATCACGCTCAAAATTCTATCACAGATATCTGGAGCCATATCTTAGAATGGTAATTTTGTTTTCTCGTTTTTGATTTTTCCTTTTCTCGTTATAGAGTTTCAAATTAAAATCTCACGTTTTACCTAGAGCTTTTACCATTTTCTTTTATACCTCGAGAAGGAAAACGAAAGAACAAAGCTACCGTTCTGAGATATCGTTCCAGGTATCTGTGATCAAATTTTGAGCGCAAGTGGATGACGTTTTAGAGGTCGTAACGTACTCCAATGAAAATGTAAGTTTTTCAGAAAAACCATGGAACATCACGTCAGAAGCATCTGGGCAAAATACATTGATTTTCTGTTTCGATGCCATATGTCTGGTATAAAGTTGAGATCAATCGGATCTTTACTTTCACCTTGCTAACAAAAAAAAGAGAGAACTTACTCTTAAGTTATATTAAATTGAATTTTGAGTATATAGATATTATATGATATTTTATTCATCATTGTTGACTTTTATTTACACGTTATATGTGGATTGACAAGTCACTACACTGAATTTTAGTACATTCAAAAAGTGCTGTGAACGGTCCAACCGATGATTCTAAAACCTTAATTTTTTTTCTCGTAAAACTCGTCTGTTTATTAGAACGTCCTGAAATCATCAGACATTTCGGGAACTAGTTTAGGTGTAAAAATACAATTCGATCAAATAAAGCCAACTGTTCAATGCTGACAAGAAGTTTCACATACGTTTCTTCTGAGCTTCTGAAGAAACCAAACATTTGTAAGAAACGGAAAGAAAGAGATTTCATTGATCGAGTAGATAAAGCCTATATAATAAAAAGGCACATTATTGTCCACATTATTGTTTTTTTACTTTAAAAGACTAGAAAAATAACAAATGATCGAATGAATACAAAAATGTATCAACACAGAAAACAACAACAGAAGTTTTAGATTATCTCTAAAAAATCATTATCTTTATAATATATGAATCAAACAAGCGACAAATTTCACATTATCATTGCCTCTACACCTTCGGACGAGGACATATCGTCGCTGAAATGAAAAGAATGATACAAAGACAGATTTGATGATTTTAGTAATTAAAATTGCCAACATACTTTTTTTGTTCGAGATACCTTAATGAATGCCAACTAAAGTCCAAAAATAAAACTTGCTGATAAAGACGATCGAGCCTTGCCATATGCCTCTCTAAATGAAAGTTGTATTATGAACATGTTATTAGTTTTTCAGTAATGTATCTCTATTCTAACCAGTGTAAGGCACGAGACCTTCAATACATGTCTGCCCATTTGATAATTTCAAAAATCGTTCGGGAGACAATATAGTTAAAAGAATTTTAACAACTATTTGAGCTTCAGTTGAATGTTTAGTGTTTGTATTCCAGTCGATTATGTAAGATAATAATGAATCTAAAATATGACGTTATTGCAGGTTCACGCATATTTTTCAAAGCAATGATAGCTCTACCTAAATGATCATCGCTAAATTGTGCCAGTGTCGTAGTCAGATGTTGGACACCGTTATTTTCGCCGAGAATTTCTAAAATAAAAGATAATTTGAATCCTATTTGTATCTAACTTTATAACAAGAATTTGGTTAGCATACGCAAAGATCTAAACTACTCTACAAAAAACTTTTTAATCGGCATTGGTTGTGTATCGGTGCCGAATGATTTTTTTCATGGCACCGGTGCGTATCGACACTATCCTCTGAACTCGTGCGGCATTTTTCAGAATACAGAAAAAACTTCAATGCGGCACCGACACTTGCTGAGCACTGGTGCATCACTGAGAAAAACTCAGTACCGTATTGAAATTTCTTTGGTAGCGTACGTATTCTCAGAACCTCTTTTCAAAACAAATTCTTTAAGATGTCTACTCAATGCTGTATAAGTGTACAAAAGTTCGCCACTTACTGAAGTATGGTACAGACCTTTTATTATAGTTAATGTGCGATATTGTTGGTTGAGATTAATCGCGATTTGTAATGCCTTATGATAGTTTTTGTTCAACATAAGATTCGACACTTCTTGTTCCCTAAAATAGATTTGAAAGTTTTTTAGAAAACTTGCATGTAAGTATGATCGAAATATTTACATTAATAGCAGTTCTTCTGCCTTTTCTCGTGCTGCTTGTTTATCTTCTTCAGTTGAATCCTACAAAAAAAGCGTTTAGTGCGCTTGCACATTGAATATTTGTCTATACGTACTCGCCAAATAATAACTGATGAATCGCTAGCACATGTGACTAACAATGATTCATCCGACGATGGTGCCATGCCCCAAATTTTACCATCGTGTGCGTCAATACTCTTCTTACATGTTGTCGTTTTTAAATCCCATAATTTCAACAAACCATCCGAACCACTATGCCAAACAAAAAGGTGTTTTAATTTTTTAAAATGTAAAATTTATTTTTAATGCGTACCTGCTTATTAACTGTGTGCCAGCTGATAAATAAGCAATACGAAGTACAGACGCATCATGTCCTTCAATTGTCTAATCCAGAAATAACATGTAAACAGCTTAAGTTGAGAAAGAAGACGCTATTAACGTACTTGTAAACAAACAAAATCCTTGGAAGACCATATTTTAATCGAACCGTCAGTCGATGCTGTAGCTAAGTCCTAGAATACGAAAGAACAGTTGGTAAGATACTTTATGCACTAAAACACAAGACTGATTTTCCTTACGGAATTCACTGGAGAAAACTGCACACACCAAATGCCACGCCGATGACCTCGTAATACACCTAACAGTTTTTGACTTCGAATATCCCACACCTAAAATATGAACATTACGAGAAAACAATATAAAGTGAATTGTATGATTTTAAACATACTTTTGCCGTCTTATCAGCGGAACCGGTTGCAAAATGTTTATCGTTGAAAGATACAGCCACACTATTCACCTCTTTATCGTGTGTTTTTAGCGTAAATGATGACGTTAATGTGCTCGGTTTTCCATCTTCATTTAGGCTTTCGAGGGACCACACTTTAACTGTTGTATCCTGACTACCAGAGACAAGAAATAAATTCGATGTTCTAAAATAAACAAAGTATAATGTAAGAAAATGTGGAAAAGATTGCAAGAGAAAGCGTTTGGAAATACTTTGCAAATGCGACTGTAGCTACATCGGCAGTGTGGCCTTCGGCAATTCCGACACAATGAAATGACAATAAGGACTTATTGTACGACCAAATTCTTACAATATCATCCTATAAATAAAAAAGCGATGTAAGTCAAATAATACATCAACATTTAAACTGTCAAATTCAATTTCTGTCACTTTACTTCAACGACATTGTGATTATAAAAAAAGCGCTTTACGATAGTAACAGACAGAAACCAAAACGAATTGAGTCAGAAAAATTAGGACACATAGCGCTCTACACAAAACAAAATGGATGCACCAGACATTTTTAAAGATCTTTTATGGGAACAAGGACGCTAATTAAGTAATGAAGTGAGAAGTGATCGTCGAAATTAAGGTCAAGATTCTACTGCATACTTATTAAAAAAGTTTAAAGTTCGAATCAAGACCGATTATGAACCGAAAAATTTAAAAAAAATTTGATCACTCATACCTTAGAACATGTTGCTATTAATGTATGATCATAACTAATATCCAAACCAATAACAATATCTGTGTGTCCTTTGAGTACTTGACAATGCCATGTATTATAATCGAAAATTTTTAACTTTTCATCATTGCTTGCTACTATGACATGTGTAACATTTTCTTTACCAAAAAATCTGACATCTAATATTTCACCGAGCTCTCCAATAAACTGAAAAATAGATGAACAACACTTATCCAATTGTATCATGGTATGTTTTGAAATTGACAAACCTGCTTTTGTAATGTTAGAGTTTGTATATCGAATGAAACAATCGTATGATCGATTGTGCTAGCATAAAATAATTGTTTTTTCTTATTATAAAATGCTTGAAGAAATACTTGTTGATGTTCTTTATCTTTCTGATATTGACTAATCGATTTTTCATACGATTTATCTTCTTGAACGTGTAAACATTGACCGGTTTGAATAGACCACAATTTCATCAAACCCGCATTGCCAAATGTAAAGAAATATTTATCATGCGATGACAATGCTTGTTTTAATCTTAATTGTTTGACATTAGCATTTGATTGCAATACAATAAGAGATTCAACAGCCTAGAACGCTGAAGAAAAAATAACAATTGCCCAAGTTATGAGAAAAAGAAAAGTTAAAATGAAAACTAGAGTAGACTAACCTCCATGACTGGAATAGTTCGTAAGGACATCATCGTTTGCAAATCCCAAATAATCACAACGCGATCACGACCAGCACTAGAATGAGACAAATGAACATAATATGAATTTATATTAAAACTTGGGGTACATCTGTTACCCAAAAAATAAAATTTATAAAGAAAAAAATAAACGATAAAAAAATGGTTAAGTTTTGCTGATGTGTGAGACAACTAAATCTCATATATACCTGATTAAAATGTCTTTGTCTAGAACAAATGCTGTTATTGCACTCATATGTCCATCCAGAATGGTTGCTGGCATGGTTGAATGTAAATTATGCACATGAATTTTACCATCATCAGAACCACTAATCAAATGCATTTTCATACTATCATTCGTGTAAAATATCAGAGCACTACAACAAAAGAAAATAATAAGAGACTTTATCGTCAACTTTCACTCATGATCATACCGTATAATCCCTAAAGCACCTTTCAAATTATGCGTATAATACTGCTGTTGAACATCCCAAATTTTCACGGTATAATCTGTACCACCTGTTGCTAGTAATGTTCCTGTTTCATTGAAGAGCATGCATGATATTGCTCCCTTATGTACGGATTTCCATGTACGTAAACATTCACCCGTTTGCCAATTCCACTGACGAATTAACTGATTACGATATGCAACAACGAGAATGCCTTCAACATTGCTGAGTGCTATTGATGCAATTTCTGAAGTATCTTGACTTAGTGTTCGGATGATATTTTGACTCTCAGTATCAATTACATTTATCTGTACATTATAGGTACAAATGAGATAGCAACCATCTTCGGATAATGCAAATGGTCCACCCGTGTAAAATGAACTATGCTTTGTCTGAGGTATATAATTATCTTTTTCTCGTGGCATCACGCATCTACATCAGTTTTAAAATTATCTGAAATTAAAAAGCTATAAAAATTATTAAATAAACAAGTATAAATGCATATTTAAGACTCTGAAAAAATGTAGAAATTAATCATGAAATTAAAAAAAGAATTAGGAGGAATAGTTACTTTAGTATACTCTGGAGGAAAGATGCTCTATTTCTATATCCACTTAAATTGCTCACAGGAATTCAAAAAAGTAATGAGTTTCTTGTTTCGAAGGAAATTCATAAGAACCCAGTGTTTTGCGTACAACTATTTGACAAAAGCACTGAATCAATAATAGAAAAATGTATTTACACAGCGTTTTATTTACGTAAGTCAAAAGACATAGAAAATTGTAAAAAAATACAAATGATGATATCAGACACAGTATTCAAATGATAGTTATAAATCTAACGGTAATTTATTCAGTTGCTCTATTTCTAAAGCTGTTGGTGTTTGACGTAAGTGAATATCTGTACCTTGTTTAGCTTTCAATGGTACATTATTCGCAGAGATGTTTTGCTCTTTAGACACGGTTTGCTTATTTTTCGATTCTAGTACATGTTTTAAGGTTTCTTCTTCTTGTTTTATCGACGCTATTTCTTTCCATATTAGATTACGTTGTCTTTCGAGATGTTGATGTGCACGATGTAATGTTGTTTGAATATTAGAATTGTCATTGTTCCAATAATGCTCATGAATAAAATCAATAAAATTCATTCTTGAATCTAAAACAGAGATTTCACTAAACTATCAATGATAAGATGTAGAAATTAAATTACCGTTACAAAAATCTTTTTAACAACGTCGCTGGAATGTATCCAATAATTGCGTGCAACCGTTTTAAAATAGAAATTCAGAAGGAATCAATGTCTTTTGATGAATGACCATTTGGCTATCCACAAGATTCATCTGTTTACCATTAATCGATCATTCAGTTACGGATAACAATCAGTAATACATATGGTCCAGATAAGGTACAATCAAAATGAGTGGTTAGCCTCTATTAAGGAACCAGGCGATACATAATTTTCTAATGATTGGCTATGAATTGTTGTAAGAAATTTCACAGATAAATGATTGTCATTGATTTATTTTGAACCAAAATCTAAAACTAACTAATCAGACGCAATACATGGTTTATTTTCTTGGTTAAAAATACGTGAAGATAGGGGTGTTAGGTGTCTCCAAAGTTTTCTTCCCGTTTTCAGGCAGAAAGGGTTTCACAGTAATTATTGTCAGTAGAAAAACGACTGGACACTCTTAACTTGACTGTCAAGATAAAATATACATACACATTAGATTAACAAGCAATAGGTACTGTCAACGTCCTTTGTAAAGTTGCTGAGGGCTCATTTTCAGCCCAGCTTACCGTGATCTTTTTCATAATAAATATAAATAAACCAAAAAGAACTTAAATATTAGCACTCGACATCCATCTCGGTGACCAAAACTTCTAACCGAATTCAGTCAAATAAATCGAACTAAATTCAACCCTGATCATCGGTTCTCATATAAGATCTTCCACGAAAGTGACAAGAATTCTGCTGGATCTTATAAGAATCTCGCAAGAATTCATAAGAAATTGGTAAGAGTCAGCGATACTCGTACGTTATTCTTATCGAATGCCTATAAGATTCTTATAAGATTCAGCAAAATTCTTGTCACTTTTGTGGAAGATCTTATATAAGAATTCAGTAAGATTCTTATAAGATTTCACAAATGTTTTTGTCTAGAGAAATAACGATTTTTTCTGTTTCATATTTTCTCTTTTGTTTTATATATGCTACGTCCGCAGAGGCTATTTAAATTGTTTTCCGCGCGCTTACCTTTTTTAGGGAATGATCAATTATCACTGGATTTTCTTACATGACTAACGAAAAGTGGATTCTACACTTGAAATTCTGGATTTGAGGTGGAATAACATTATTAGTTTTGCATAACTTCATTAGAGAGCGGTCACTTAGCTACAGTAGTTTTAGTTGAAACTATTCAGATTAAATAAGTCCACTTTGTCACCATAGGCGGCGGAACGATTCTAATCTAGGGGAGGCTCAAAAACTTTTTTCAAACAATGATGGAAGGAAATAAAATATCTGAGCCCCCCCAAGCCTGCCTCTTCCTTTTTTACGGGAGGCTTGAGTCTCCTATGTTTGCCACTACTATCATATCAGCAATTACGTAGAATTTCTATAACAGGATTCTATACGATCGTACAATATTCTATTAAATAGGAACCCCATGTGGTTTCGATACTACTCATCGTCTGTCATTTCCGGTAGAATTCTGGTCGATTACATAGAATTAAATGGGATACTGTTTAGTATTTGAATACAGCATAGATTTCTGATGATTAGTGGTCCATTGTGTTTTTAGCAGAGAAAACATGATAAACTGTGGAAAATCAGTTTACGTAAACATTCTTATTAGAAACGTTGTTCCAGTTATTTCTACAATGGCTGGCGCAGTATTTTCATTTTTTTCATTTGAAAGTATACATTTAAAGGCGCTTCAACAGCGATTTATTGAGGTTTCAATCAAGTGGTTTAAAGTTACCTTGATTAACTCACATACAATATATTTTAGTAGTTAATTGAATAAATATATTTGTTTTTAATGATTGTACTCTAGGTTTTAAAAGAAAAAATCGACGATGTAATTTTTGTCACGCGAAACTAACTACTCCTGACCACACTAGTACTCTCGGTTAGCGGTTGGTTCGCTGTGCAGCAGAAATTGCTCCTGATTGATGAATTCATAGTTTTTGTACAACTCATTGATTAAGTCATTTACGTGAGGACTACCCACAACGGAAGTGTCCCACATTTCAGAAGCATTTTTCGGCTTCATTTAAACTAATCCAGTTTTATAGAGCGCATCAAGGTAAGTAAGATTAAGAGTTAAGAAACTGTCTTTTCTGACTTCATAGCTGATGCAGAACCCAAGAAAAATGACTTTTACTCTCCCAGCAAAATTATCGGATTCGGCGCGACTCTCAGTGCGAATTGATCAGCACCGGCATGAATTTTACACATATTCTCCGTTTTATCGACAAACCGCTTAAGCTGATTATTATAGAGTGGGACATGAACTATATTCTCTACAACTTAGAAGGATGTTTCATGCAAGGTTCACGAGGTATTGAGCTTTTACATCTCTCATTATGAGACCACCGTACAAAACTGTTACATCAGAAAAAAAGCACAACAGGCAGTTAGTTACCTAGGTCCGTGATTACGACCGACGTAATTTGACGTATACTACAGTATTTCATCATATTTTGACGTAAATTCGGCCTACCGTATTACGCCAGCCGTTACGACCGTCCTATTTCGTCGTATTTCAACATAAACGATGTCGTTTACGATGGACGTAATACGTTGACCGGGTTTACGTCAAAACAGGATGAAATACTATAGTATACGGTCGTGAATCTTTGATCTGGGTACTAATAATGGTGCCGCCACAGTAACGGCGGTCTCAGCTACCTTATGAACATTTGGAAAAGCAGCTTTTTTATGGTCGTAATCGAACCGAGAACGCAAGAAAACCAATACGAAGTTGTTTTTATCAAAACCCAAATTTAAAATACTGAGATAAAACTCGAACATAATTCATTTTTAAAAGTTCAATATCTCGTGAGCCTTGCATGAAATATCCTTCTAAGTTGTAGAGAATATAGTTCATGTCCCACTCTATAATAATCAGCTTAAGCGGTTTGTCGATAAAACGGAGAATATGTGTAAAATTCATGCCGGTGCTGATCAATTCGCACTGAGAGTCGCGCCGAATCCCATAATTTTGCTGGGAGTAAAAGTCATTTTTCTTGGGTTCTGCATCAGCTATGAAGTCAGAAAAGACAGGTTCTTAACTCTTAATCTTACTTACCCTGATGTGCTCTTTAAAACTAGATTGGTTTAAATGATGCGGAGAAAGTTGGTGTAATGATGGGACATTTCAGATGCATTTGTCCGGTAGCAAAATTCAAGTATTACTGCTAACTCGAGAAGAGCTAGAAGCTCGTAATGTTTCATTAAAGATGATACGAAATCCTGAATTTTTTCTGAAAAGTTAATCTGATTCTGCTCTATGAGTCTAAATGTTGTGTTGACGACATGTGTCCCCAAGAATGTACGCTTTCAGATTAGCTGAAAATTGAGCAAATAGGTCAATTTCGATCTGTATCACAAAGATGAAGAAGGAAGTGCAACACATGACGTAATCGATAGTGAATTATAAACGTATAAAAGCAGAGAATTAACGTGGTGGAAGCGTAGTGAAATGGATTTTTTACATTCTATAAAATTTTATTCGGACAAAACTCCGAAAAATATTGTAACAAAGCAAGAAGCAGTTGATTGGGCAGAACGTTTACAAACAACACGTCGTTCAATTATCGATCAATTGAGTCGGTTAAAGATCGAAGAAATGTACCTGAGAAATTTATCAATTAAACATGAAAATGATCAGACTGATGTTACAAAAGAGGATCAAAATCTAAGACTAAATCGATTAACAACCGATGTTCCTACAACAACAATAAAGAGGACAGTTGAAAAATATGAATATTCCGATGAAGATGATAAAAGCGAACGTTTAACTAAACGAGCTCGTCTCTTTGCTCATAATGAATTTGTTGAAGAAAAAATAATTAATGAAACTCCGCTTGATCTTGATTTATAAGGACAAAATGTTTTTTTTTATATCTGTTGCTTTGCTACTGTTGTAAATTTATGTAAAGAAATGAAGTTCTAAAACTACTATCAGATTAAATGAACAAGATTTCTTTCGATCCTTCCTCTTGGACTGATGGTTCACAACTTTCGAACGTTCGATATCTTGCATCTGTACTGTCAAGTTGGAGTAGGGTTTAGTGCAGGCGAAACTGAATCACAATTTTTCAGAATGGAAAACCTTGACAAGATGTTTAATAAAGATGAAAGTATGGATATCGTTTGCATAAAGGATCTGGAACAGATTTCTATGCAAACTCTGGTGTAGATAAATACATATTCATTCTTCTCAATATCTGAGCTCTTTTACTTCGGATTCTCAGAACAAATTGAATTATTTTGGCAATCGTTTTTTAGATTATACTAGAGGCAATTCGATTGTTACCTCTCATAATTTCTTACTTATCTGTAGTTTTCATGTCTTGGTTGTGAAAACGGTTAATATCATTTATATAGATAACTTTTTTGTTCATCAAGTTTTTAACGAACTTGATTGATTATGGCGGATGAGAGCTCTGATGGAAGAGAACTGTAAGTTATCAAATTGTTTATGTAATGTTCTATTTAATATCCTACTTTTTAAGACCATCAACATCGACTTCAAATTATTACGATTTGTTAGGAATTTCAAAAACTGCAACAGAAGAAGAAATCAAACGTGCCTATCGAAAAACCGCTCTAAGACTTCATCCGGATAAGAATCCAGATCCGAATGCAGCTTCACAATTCCAAAATGTTGATAAAGCTTACAAAGGTATTTTGTCTTTAAATTTCTATTTACTTAAAGATAGTTGACTGTGATATTTGTCTTGTCAATTTAGTATTAAGCGATCCGAAGTTGCGTAGTACGTACGATCAGTTTGGAGCAAATGCAGCGGATATGATGAAGAAAATGAATGAAAATTATTCGGAAGTTTTAGAACGAATGCCAAAATGGAAAAAAAATTTGTTTATTGTATGTATTAATATGCCATCCTTTTTGTTAGAATTCTAATGTGATTTTACTTTTTCATTTTAGTTCTTGTGTATCTCAACTTGTTGTTGTTTTGGAGGTGGATGTTGCTGTCTATGTGGTTGTGGATGTTGTTGTAATTTTTGTTGTAATTACTGTTGTGGAACACGTAAACCGGAAGAAACTCATCCAGCATTCAATGTGAGTAAAAATATTTTAATTTTTTTAAAAATTGATGCAGTTTTTGTTTTGTTTGTTCTGTTTATGTGGTACAATTCAGTCATAGACATCATTATTTCTTTTTTACGTTTTCTAGGAAGAAGCTGATCATGCAAGGACACCCAATGAATCAGAACCTGTGATAAAACAACCAGAAAATACTGTTATTACATTAGAAAATCCTGAACCACTTCGAACAAGGTATGAGGCAACGTTTACCACTCTACAATAAAAACTGACAACATCCGAAATATAATTGGAAACAATTTAATTAGAATTCTAATTCATTACCTCATTCCAAAACTGATTGATACACATTATTAAAAGAACATATTTTCACGAAATTTCTTCTAATTCTGTTTCTTATCTTATATATTTTTTTGTTTCTATCTCATTTATCAGAGAAAAATGCTTTTTATACACACGTAGCTCAGTATTTTATTTTATTTATAATATGAAAAAATCCCCCAATATCCTGACTATATTTATTTGTTACTATGTTGTTTTTGTTTTATATTCTTGTTGTCAATCTAAAACTCACTATTTTGTTAGATTATTTTTGTCTCTTATATTTTTGAATTTCTAATAGGTTTTTTCTCCCTGTGATGGTGATACCGTAATGATTAAACTAAATACTAATTTGACCCTTATTTTACTCGTATGAAGCTGAATAAATACTCACTAGATGTCTGGAAGATAAAAAATAATTCTCTCATTACTCAACTAAATCACGAACATTGCGTCCGTTTTTTGAGAGAGAGAGAAAGATTTTTATTCATTCTATTAACCTACTATATTTTTTGTTTTTTTATTTCATTTATTCTGTTATACAGTAATAACGCGTTTATTCGTCGATATATTTTTAATAAAAAGTTTCATCTGCTCAAATGTACATACTTGAAACTTTTTGTTTCAAATTATTAAAAAAAGAAATCTTTATTGTACCTAGTTTATCCAGTGATGATGTTTATGATGATGTTGACGATGATGCTGATGTCGATGTCGATCTGGACGTGTAACAGGTGTATCAGGCGTAGAACAAGCGAACCAAGATGTTTCCATGGGTTTTGCATAAGTTTTCCATGTAACAAGCGATTCTGACCAAATAAAAACGAGACGATCTGCTGTAAAAAAATGATGCATATTTAGATACGTAAATGCTGATTTAACAGTGCCATAGAATCGGGGGAACTCCTCGGTCATTAAACGGGGTTCCGATTGTTCATATGTATTGTCTAAATCAAATAAATGAATTGTATGCGTTTTTACAATATACACCTGACTAAGATAATAGATTGCTCCTACAGCATCGTGTAAATAATCTGGTAGTTCCTGTTCGTTTTTAAATTCAATTTGATTGTTTCGATCGACCGTATATCGATAAACGTGACTGCTAGAAAAAATGTATATTAAACGTGCTACCGACTTGTATACACTTCCTGAGACTTTATTTGGTAGTTTTTTGTATTTTGATCGGTAAGTACTTGGTATTGTTTCCCAACTTTCAGAATCAATTAAATAACGCCAAACCATACCGACTTTAAATGTGTGAAAAGTTTTATCGGGACTTAAATGACCAGCATCGAGAAACAAGCGACATCGTGTATGCATTTCACCATGGATAGACGTTTGTGACGATGTGGTACGTAGAGTTGGATATTTTGAAATTGTTGCTTGACTTACTCTTGTTGGTGATTTGGCAGTTACTGTATTGTCTGTTTTCTTCCCGTAGAGATCCTGTATTGCATCTTGATCAGGAGACGGTAGTATTTTATCTCGTGCCATAGGTTGATATGCGGGATACATAATCGATTTTGTATTAAAAGTATGATCTAATCCAAGAGCATGTCCAAGTTCGTGTACGGCAACGAGAAACAGATTTGTCTGCAGTGAATCAAAACTGAATAGAGATTAAGAAAAAAATTGAAATAGCTCAAAATAAGTACGCTGAGATAGATTATACAAAATACCTTTCCGTCCAAGTTTCATCAGAGTCAAAGTGAACCCGACCGTCTTCCGGTAAATAAGCGTGTGCCAAAGTACCACCCGATCCATCAAATGGATAAGGGTCATCGTGTCGATCTCGATTGAACTCTAACACAAAATCCGCTTCACAAGATGAACAAACTTTCTGAATATCTAATGGTATATATTTTAACCATTCTCCAAAAGATTCTTCAATGATTTTTGTTGTTTTAGTTAAACTTAACTGTGTTGGTCCATTTCTTAACGCCCACGTTAACGTATTCCGTGACCATTTGCTCGCTCGTGTTTTTAATTCATTAATGGGTTTGTTCTCAGTTAAATCTGGTAATCCGCATCTTGGTCTATTCATCATTTTTTTCGTTTGTTCGTCAAGTGTACCTGTTACCTTCAAACCCCATCGTTTCTGATAATTTTTTACCACCGATTTGAAATCAAGACTACATAGTGCTTTCGACGTTGTTGTTGCACACGGATTATAACCGAATTTATTCAGGTATTCTAATGCATCATCTGTTGTTTGAACCGATTTTGCTTTACTAATGCAATAAATATGTTTTGCAAGTAAAATGATAACTAAGAATTGTACAAAAACGAACTGCATCATTGTTGTTGAAAAAAATTGATGTACATTTTGATTAAAACCAAAAATCTATATTATTTCACTATAAAAAGAAATTTAACTTCTTTTCATATAATATATAAAAACACACAAGTGTTATCTTCTGTGGAAACGGGATCAAATTTCAATGTGAGTTATGGCAATTTAGCTTCTTACTAAATGATTCAGTTAAAACCATCGTGCAACATTTACGTCATCAAATGTTTTACCTAATGGCGTCGTGTGAAATTCATACTTTGAATGCTCTCTAGTGCAAAATAGCCGATGTTGTTTAAATATATAACAGAAACTTCGGCTTCTAGGTCTTGTGTGAACATAGTGTAAATAAAAAAAAATGCTTTCTTGAACATCATATTGCTGTCACATCGGGAACTGTCACATAATTCATGATTTTGTATTTTTTCCGGTTTTATTAAAATAAAATTGTTACTTGTTTGAAATGCAGTAGGCACTCTGGGCACTTTTTTTAAATGTCCACTATAAAATGAGAGGCTTTACTCGGTTGTAAGATCGAGGATGATTTTGATCATATGGTGTTTTCTGCACAAATTAAACCTGATGCGCTTGTCTGATTGGCTTAGTGATACATTATATTGTATTGAATTCATTTTTATTAATATTACTCTTAAAGTCATGCATAATGATGGTGATTTAGATATTTAAGTGCATCTGGGAAGTGTTTCGTAATGGGTCATCGATTAAAAGATTTTTGATTTCTGTTTCTAAGCAAATTTACAATTTTCGATAAAAACTAATATCGCTCAGAAAGTATCTTTCCCCACCTGAAACAAAAAGACTGACTTTTGACTCATCAGAACAGGTCCTCATAATTTGAAAGGAGGCCTCCTTTGAAATTTTTCGTATATTCACGGGTTTGAATGTACTCTACATTCGAGAGTAACAATGGCATCGACTTAGCCCTTAAAAACTGCTTATTATATGAGTTTTGCCACTTCGAATTTTACTTCTTCCGACAGCCTCATTCAATTTGTTATATTATCAATTTCGTCTCTATGTCTGAAAGTAAATCACAGCTCTTATATATCATTCGATAGAGAATTTTATGGGCTACAAAATGGTATATAAAGCATTGGGAAAAAAATGTAACTGGGTATTCGAACATTAGAAATACCATTCGCTAGCTCAACAAATCCATAGGTCAACATCGTTCAGGCGCGGCAGGAATTTCACGGAGACACCCAGATTCAGTGATCTTTAGATTAGGAACCTTCAAAATAGATGGAAACATAGGTTCTTGATCACGCTGAATCTCGTGGCAATGGTAGTTTTCGGAACAAAATTCGAAAACCTCGTGAAGTATTAGATCAAATATCCCACTTTTACCTATTTTTGAGTAAAATTAAAAACTTCATAACTCAGTCAGAATTGATCCAAATTATTTCAGAAGATCATACTCTGTTTTATCTGCGCTATACTACAGAGTCTAATAAACATTTTAAAAACCACAGAGAATACTTTGGTTTTCGAAAAGGTTTTCTAGAAACCTCCGAAAGTAAGAGACTACTTTTTATTGATCTTAAGCACAAGATGAGGTTGAGCAGATAGAATGAAGTATAGCTTGATCTTCTGAAATAATTTGGATCAATTCTGACTGAGTTATGAAGTTTTTAATTTTACTCAAAAATAGGTAAAAGTGGGATATTTGATCTAATACTTCACGAGGTTTTCGAATTT